GGGGCTTCTTCCCTTTCCATATAAAGTTAATGATTAGTTTTTCCATCTCTTTGAAGAATGTTGCTGATATTTGGATCGGGATTGCACTGTATTTGTAAACTGCTTTGGGTAGAATTGTCACTTTCACAATGTTGAGTCTACCTATCCATGAGCATGGTATGTTTTTCCATTTATGTAGATTCCTTTGGGTTTCTTGCAGTAGTGTTTTGTAGTTTTCTTTGTATAGGTCTTTTACATCCCTGGTTAGATTTATTCCTAAGTATTTTATTTTATTTTTTTAGGGGCTATTATAAATGGTATTGTTTTCGTGATTTCCTTTTCATCGTTCTCCTTATTGGTGTATAGGAATCCAACAGATTTTTGTATGTTTATCTTGTATCCGGCTACTCTGCTGAATACTTCTATTAGTTTTTAAAGAACCAAATTTTTTAAAACCTTAAAGATATCTAACACCAGTAAAATCACTTCCTTTGAAGACAAAAGTTTTGGTGCTAAACGTGTTTTATTCTTGGCTACAGCATTATAAATGATCCTAAGGCATCAACTCATTTCCACAGACTTACAGAAACGCCCCAGGCCTCCTAGAGTAACGTGTTCAGAGGTATTTATCACATCCCAATGTGTTATTTTTTTTTTAACGTGTTATTTACATATAAGTCTGTGTCCCCCTCCCCCGCCACCGGTTGAATAAAGACAAAAAACCAAACACACTGCCATCGAGTCTATTCTGGCTCATAGTGACCCTAGAGGACAGAGTAGAACTGCCCCATAAGGGTTTCCGAGGCTGTAAATCTTTATGGAAGCAGACTACCACATCTTTCTCCCGCGGAGCCCCTGGTGGTTTTGAACTACCGACCTTTTGGTTAGCAGTCAAGTGCTTTAAACCACTGTGCCACCAGGGCTCTTTACTAGTTGAATACCTCTTCTATCTGAAATTTGTAGTTATCTAATAAAGTACCTAGCACACAATAGGAATTTACTGCAAATAAATGCTTCACAACTGATAATACACCCATTAATGATTTAAGCTTTTGGAGACTGTACTATAATAAGCCCACAAAATCATTATTCCTTCCACGGCAACAAAAGTGGATAGGTAAGCAATCTCCATAGAGTATAACCACTGCCTTCACAGTTGGGAAGAGTTTTAAAAGGTTATGCATGATAGATGATTTGAGACTACTGCACCACAACTGCTGTAAATGTAGACATTATTTCACCTAATGAATGGATAAAAACAAAACGAGTCTGGGCCCTGAGCCTTATTCCTCCCTTCCAGAGCCACACCCAAAGAAAAGGAAGACAAACAATGAGAGCTGCCGGACAGGTCCCCTGCTCTCCATCTCTCACTGGACCTTATCAATTAAGGGAAAAGAGACCAGTCAATGGCTTTGTTTTCCCTGCTAAAAGGCAGATTTAAATGGGTAACAGAAGCTCCATGAGAGGTCTAGTCTGTTTAACCACTAGCTCGTAGTGTCAGTCTGGCAATGAATGGCTGTATGTCTCGGTTTACCCACACATCAAAGTAGGAGGGTGTGCTGGGTGATTTCCAACAAACCCATCAGCTCTAACACTGCATGACCTTTACTGTCTACTTTGGAAATTACTCACTAAATACATCTTATTTTATTAATGTGACTAACTCCATAGGCTACAAGGAAAGATATCATTTGATTATGAAAATACATGATTTCTTTGCAAAAATATTACATACCTGTTTACACCTGATGCTGCAGAATGTCAGGTACAGGGTTAAACCTTTTGAAATCAAATGTACTTACAGGCAGTCCCCAGTTATGAAAGAGATCCATTCCTCAGTGTGTCTTTAAGAATTTGTAGGTAAGTCAGAATAAGTGCATGTGGTTCTTATTTAGCCTTACTTTAATGCAAGTGGAGATCTGGTGGCACAGTGGTTAAGAGCTCAGGCTGCTAATTGTCAAAAGGTTGACAGTTCAAATCCACCAGCCACTCCCTGGAAACTCTATAGTTCTACTCTGTCCTATTGGGTGGCTATGAGTTGGAAATCAACTCTATGGCAAGGGTTTGGGTTTTTTTGGTTTTAGTGCAAGTATTTAGCCTTACTTTAGCACAAGAAAAGGCTCAAAGCCTTTTCAATGTTTTAAAAGCTGCATGTGCAGCAAATGAAGGTGATTGTAATGAAGACTTTGTTGTGAATAGGGGCTGGTTCAATTGTTTCAATGTGAGAGCAAATTTACATAATATTATAGAGCAACTACAAATTGTCCATAAGTCGGACATTTGTAATCTGGGGACTACCTGTATAAATATCGCAACCTACTTAATATTAAGTGTTAAATTTTAAATAAGACAGTATATGTTAATCAGTTCTTCCCTAGAACTCAATTAGTTCTTTGTACATCTTATTAGCCATTATCTCCTTTTTGACAGATTACATCTGTGCAGAAAAACCACTTGTATTATAATAGCTATTTATGTTTCTATATATCTCTCAGAAGCCTGAAGAATCTCCTATACAGGGAGAATATTTTTTAACATTGCATCTCCAATATCTAACTAATTATACTAAGTATGCTAATTGTTCATACATGTCGGCTAAATAAGCATGGCAAAGCCTCACAGTTGCCTACTCACACTCCATTTTCCCTTTCTTTTTAGGTAACAGACCCCAATTTCATTCAGGACACCAGTGCACCCAGTTCAAACACATTTCTTAGCGCTCTTCTATGTGGCCATGTGGCAAGTTTTAGCCAATAAGATGTAGGAAGAAATACAATGCAGGACTTCTGGGAAGGGCTCTGAAAACAGAGCACCTCTTTTTCCTTCTTCCCTCTTTTCTTTCCTCCTTCCTACTGACCTGAGTATAAACATACAGATTGGAGCCCCAGCATTCATCTCAGACTATGGGCAGGTGGCTGTGACACAGCAGCAGATGGAAAGCGATTGAAAACTTTAAGGGGCCTCCACCACAGCTGCAGGAATCTCATTTCCAGATTTATTTTACATAACAAAGCCTCCTGTGTTTAAGCCACTCCAGTGGCATCTCTGTTACAGCCAAACCCATTTCCTAACAGATACAATGACTGACTGTCTCCTGAAAACAGTTTCACCATCAGTAAAGGAACTGTATGAAAAGTTTTCAGAGAAATGAAGTCATGATACATGCTACAATATGGAGCTTGAAGACATTATGCTGAGTGAAATAAGTCAGTTACAAAAGGACAAATATTGTACGACCCCACTTATATAAAAAGACAAGAACAAGCAATGTATAGAGACCAAAGTTTATTAGTGGTTACGGGGTGCGGGGGGAGGGAAGAGGGTTTATTGCTTATGGAGTACTGAGTTTTGGTTTACAGTGATGGAAAAATCACATTGATTAAGGGTAGGATTGCACAGTCAATTACTGTAAATGCTGTCAATAAGTTGTACACTTGTAAAGAGTTGAATTAGCAAAGCTTGTGTGATAGACATATTTATAATGACCAAAAAAAAAAAAAACAGAGTAGCTGCTGAGGCTGTTTATGTACAAACACCACATAGGATTTGGTTCCTTGGTTGGAAGTTTAGGGTCATGGTTTCATAGGGCATCCCAGTTAATTGGCCTAATAATGTGTTTAGCCCTTCTGTTCTACCACCTAGTTCACTGCGTAGTTCCTGGGGTCTTAAAAGCTTGGGCCATCCATGGCACAATTGGTCTCTATTTGCCTGGAGCAACAGAGGAAGAAGGAGAGTCAGGAATGGAGGAGGAAAGGGAACGTGTGGCTAATTGCATCCATGAACAACTGCTTCCTTTGCCATGAGACCAGAAGAAGTGGATGGTGCCCAGGTACCACTACCTAACATTTTAATCAAAGATTTTACAGAAGAATCCCGATCCAGATGGGGAAAATAAGAACATAATTTCTAATTTTCATGGACCCCAGACTTTCTGGAGCCATGGAGACTAGATGAACCCATGAAACTACTGCCCTGAGATAATTTTTAAACTTTAAACCAGAAATATCCTCTGAAGTCTTCTTAAAACCAAACAATAGTCTAGCTTAACTTTAATGCATGTGAAAGCTGGACAACGAATAAGGAAGACCAAAGAAGAATTGATGCCTTTGAATTATGGTGTTGGCAAAAAATATGGAATATACCATGAACTGCCAGAAGAACGAACAAAGCTGTCTTGGAAGAAGTACAGCCAGAATGCTCCTTAGAAGCCAGGATGGAAAAATTTCGTCTCAAGTACTTTGGACATGTTATCAGGAAGGACCAATCCCTGGAGAAGGACATCATGCTTGGTAGAGTACCGGGTCAGCAAAAAAGAGGAAGACCCTCAACAAGATGGACTGACACAGTGGCTGCAACAATGGGCTCAAGCATCACAACAATTGTGAGGATGATGCAGGGCCGGCAGAGGGTTGCTATGAGTCGGAACTGACTCGACCGCACCTAACAACAACAACTAGTAAAGAATGTCTGCCTTGAGCACTCTGCTCTCTTTTAAGATCTATCTATACGGGATCAAACTGACAAAAGCAACTTGAAAGATCAGATGGGAATCTTAGGGGGCAGTGAGTTTATGTTAATGCGGGAGGAATAACTCAGAAAAGGAGGGTGAGAATGGTTGTGTAACTCGAAGAATGTAATCAATGTCACTGAATTGTACTTGTAGAAACTGTTGAATTGATGTATGTTCTGCTGTGTATATTCTCAACATCAAGAAAAATAAGCTATTTTTTAAAAAAGAATTAACTTTTCACCAAACCCCATCACTTTCTAGACCATATGTGGCAAAGTCCTGGTTCAAGCTGTAAAATAATCTACCACACACTTAGCTGGAGATACTGTCATCTTTAAAACGGAGTTACTTGAGGGCAAAACTTGAGTTTAATAGATTTGGCTTGCTACTTTATGACTAGAAGAGTAAGAAGTAGATGCAAAGCAAGCACATCAAGCAGGAAGTAGTCTTACCTGTACCGTTGAATGTAGCGTTTTTATTTGTGTACAGCCTGATCATATGTCCTATTGTTTTCACATTTTCTCTCAGCATTATACCTCGCGCTTGTACCATAAAGAGATACGTGTTGGCTATAAAGGAAAAAGAAAGAATGTCATGACTCAATAAGCTTTATTTAATGAAACAATTATCTGATTTGGGGAACTGTCCAATAAAACTAAAATTCACTCAACTAGTATGCCCAGAGGAAAAACATAAATATAAAATTATTATTTCCCACAATCAAAAAATACTACTTTTTTAAGACAATAAAAACAAAAAAACTAAAGTGGCAAAAATCATCAAATAGAATGAGAAGAAATGAACAAACTGAAATATAATGAACGCTTCTACCCATAAACTATTTTTTAATATAAAATGTACTTAAAATTTTCAAGAAGGCATTTATAACAAATATTAGGTCACACAGGTATACAATTCACTTTCTCTAATTCTATATTAATCCCCCAAACCAAAAAATCCACAAAAGTGAGGATTCCTCCTCTAATTGTAAATACATCATAAATCACTAAAATAGCTAGTGGTTGCTATGGATCTTGCTTATTCTCAATGTGCTGGGGGGAGATGATCTAGAATCAAGATCTATTTTTGGTAATTTCTGTCTGAGAGCTAATTATTCAAACTTTTACAAGTCTACCTACCAGCACTGTAACAACAGAGCAAATCAAAATCAATGCACACTTTAAAGTTAGTAAATTTTCTTTGTTGTAAGTGCTTCAAAAATAGGTTCTTAATTCCTTCCTTTGGAATAAGCCGGTAAATTAATAAAGATTACAAAATTTTGGATTTTTTCAGATGCCAAGCCTCCTTAGAGAGGCACAGAGCTAATGACAGAAGACCCTCTCTCCTGGTCCCAATTCTACTAGCACAGTGCATAACCATAACTTTGGACAACTCACTGGATCTCAGTTCCCTCATCTAAAACGGCAGTGTTGTACTAGATGTTCTCTTCTATTTGAAATTCTCTGAACATAAACCCAATAAATCATAAACTCCATTCACAAAGAATGACTGTGGTAGAGGCTCATTATCATGGCAAAACCAAAAACTGCAAGACTTGGTTAATGACTTTCAATTTTAAGATAAGCTGGCTCTGAACACAATAATGACCATCTTGAAAAAATGAATGCTGAATGAAAAAATTAAAGAATGCCAACTAATTTTTTGGGCCCTGCTCTACCTCATTGATATGGTACAGAGGGGTGTGCAAAATGTAATATTTATTATTTCCTTTCCCGTTTTTTTTTTCCAGTAAATTTGAACTTGTTCAAAGCACAAAAAAGAGAGTAAATAAAACTAGTAGAGAAGCACAGGAAAATAACACATATCCTTTCACCTTCAATCCATAAAAAAGAGACAGACAAAATCCAGGTTTCGCAAAAGCTTTTCTTTGATCATTTTTAAGAGCATGTCTACTTCCTTTCTAGAAAGCAGTGCTATAATTAGGTTTAACTTGTTTAGGCTTGAATCTATTGTTCCGGCTTAAAAATACCAGTTTTTATTGTTTTGCTCTTGAGTGTACTTTAAAAGAAGAAAAATGAAGAGGAAAAAAAAAAAAGCCAGACAAAATGCAGAAAAGCATTCAATAAAAGCCAAACTCACTTTCACAATTCTTGTTAAGCCAAAGTCAAGAGTTAAACTGAGACAATGGGGAAAACGGCATCATATAGATTACAATACCCAACTGGTTTACAACACCTTCGATTATTTAATCCTAAAGTTTTATATCAAACTTGGTATTAGTGATGTAAATATCCTATTAATATTTGTTCTGCACCAAACTAGAGCAACAGAACCAAGTCAAAGATAAAAACTCAGGCTTCTGGAAATGATGCTGGCCTAAGCAAAGAGATGTTTGGTAAGAACGTGGGTGCATTTTTGTGTGTACTGAAAACATAATTTTTAAAAAACTATATTGCTTTTACTTTTAATGAACATACCTATTCATATAATGAAAATTGCTTGACATCTGGAAACTAAACCAAATTTAAGTAGTGAAAAAAAGATCTGGGATAGAAAAGAATACACAAATTCAAATTTTCCTAAAAACTCTCAGAACAGTAACAAAATTCTTAAGAACAAAAATGATTACTGATGGCACCTGTGACAAATATGGATTATTTACCAAAAGAGTGCATTTACCATTCATTAGATGGATAGGAGGAGCCCTGCTGGCGCATCGGTCAAGACATCAGCTGCTAACTGAAGGGTCCAAGGTTTGAACCCACCAGCCATTCCACAGGAGAAAAGACCTGGTGATCTGCTCCCGTAAAGATTACAGCCCAGGAAACCCTACAGGGTAATTATATTCCATCCTATAGGGTCACCATGAGTCAGAATCAGCTCGATGGTACACAACAATAGATGGGTTGGGGGTGGGGGTGAGGAAAGCTAGACATCAAGCTTTATAAACGGAAAGCTTACTAGTTCATTTTAAATCATTTACTGCTAATGAGTTACATTCCTTAAAACCAAGGTAACCTACACTTTTCAAATAACTACATATGTGTTTATTATCGCTCATGTAAAATGTAATATCTCATTGGCAAGCCTTTAGTTAGAGGAAATCCTTGCCTAAAATTTTTATTCCAACTTAAAACACACACATACATTCAGAAGACAAACAGGGAAGTCTTCCCCCTCCTTGCTTTTTGGTCTCAAGACAATTTAGAAATAGATTAAAAACTACCACTGCTAAATTAAAATCACGCTGTTCATTTTCATTCAGTTCATTTTCTCTTTGCCTTTGTATTGCAAGAAATAAATCTAAACTTATTTTCCAGTTCTGCTTTTTAAGGAGAAAACACTTTAACACTTAAAAAAAAAAAAAAAACTTCGAAAGTCAACAATTTACAAAAGCTTCTAGCTATCCTACTTTGGGTTTGTGAGAAAAGAGTTACGAATTAGCCTCATTCGCAACTCAAAAGAACTTACTTGCTATAAAGATGCAGCTCTGTTCACTGCAAGTGCCATCAGTATTCAAGGCAAGAGAATGTGCTGATCTGCAGCGATCTGGAAAGATTTCCTGGGCCTTGAAAGCTCCAACACAACATCCCCCTGATTTCCGATCTCCACCTTCCCAGTCACCATGACACACTGCTGCAATTTCCAGGTCTTTTAACAAAAGGTAAGTCAGTGGAAGAGTTCATTTTCAGAGGGGGGTTATGAGGGTTAGGTATTCTGACATGCAGTTAGAAATGTAGGCCTAAAGTTAAGAAAGGGGCTAGAAATACCTTCTGGGGAGACATTCATATGAAAGTCAGGATTGGACCTGTGGTGGTAAATTACTACAGGGAAAATTATATAGAAAGGAGGTAAGAAGGTGAAGGTCAGATGCATGGAGACTGACTACAAATAGGAGGAACAAAGAGAAAAGCTCCCAAGATGAATTCATCTGAGCTTGACTGTAGCAAAAAAGTTAACAGAGGGTAAACAATGCTACAGAGTCTATGGAGGAAATACTAAAAAACAATAGCTTAAAACACTAATACTGAGCACATACTCTTTTGCCAGGCATCCTCAGAAGTGCTTTACTTACGCTAAACCATTTAATCTCCACAAACAAGCCTAAAAGGTAGGTACTATTATTATTCCCATTTTATAAAGAAATTGAGGTTTGGAGCGGATAAGTAAGGTCACACAGTTACTAGCAAGCAATGGAGGCTAGAATTCAAACCCAACGCAGTCTGGCTCCAGCAACCTAGCTCGTTACCACCACCATTTAGCCTCTGAAAAATGCTATTAGAAGACGACTGTCACTTTCAAGGGGTCTCTAGGTGGTGGAAATGGTTAACGTACTCAGCTGTTGGACTTCGAGTCCACCCAGAGGTACCTCAGAAGAAAGGCCTGGAGATCTACTTCTGAAAAATCAGCCACTGACCCTTGATTGCTCTCAGATAATCTTTAAACCTTAAACCAAAAATATCCCCTGAAGTCTTCTTAAAATTAAATAATAGTTTAGCTTAACTAGTAAAGAATGCCTGCCTTGAGCATTATGCTCTTTTAAGATCTATCTATATGGGACCAAAGAAGCCCTGGTGACGCAGTGGTTAAAAGTGCTCAGCTGCTCATACACACAATGGAGTACTATGCAACGAGAAAGAACAACAATGAATCTGTGAAGCATCTCATAACATGGATGAAACTGGAGGACATTATGCTGAGTG